CTACTCTACACTGCTCAAAAAACCCACGTTTGAATCATCAGCGGCAAATCCTTTAAATGAAAACGTACTTGCGTGAGTCAGAACAGCCGGCATTGTAGTCTACTCTCACAGGATCAGGAAACAGTCCTCCATAAAATGCGCTGCACACATCTGAATATTTGGGTTGAACTTTACAGATCTTCTTTATGCACCAAGAGCTTGTAACACTCCAAAGAGAAAGGAACAATTGAAATCGCATCATATGACCTCTTTAAAATTCAAACATGGATGAAAAATAATCTTTTAGTGGTGTTACTACTATTTTGGTTTGTTTATTTGGTTTCTTCAAGGTAAACATTTATTTTGGTGGGTTGTTGTGAAGACCTTTGAGTTTGTCTGATATGATTTGATGATAGTTATCAAATGAAATGGTGAAATACAGACTTAATATTAAAATGGCGGTCTCTTGCAGTTTAATATTCATAGACACCAGTCCAGTATGCAATTTGATGTATTGTGCAGCACTACTTTTGATTTATTCATACAATCATAGGGCCCTATGCTACAGTAAATTAAGTTTAACTGAACTGGCCCCAGGCTGACGCTCACTGTTTGTTCAGTGGGCTCTTGTGTCTCAGATTATCACATTGCCAAAAGCAGCTCCCTCACAATTATTCTATTCATTCGAGACCGCTGTAAGAAATGTTTAATGGTTAGTAGCTCAGGCTGTGATGTTGATGGATCCTTCATCTGTTTGACTGCAGATCACGACTGATGTCAGTAGAAGAGGCAGCGCTGATGACGGCTCAGAGAAGCTGAAGGTTTTCCTGCGGATCCGTCCTCTTACTGAAGCAGAGCAAGAGCGGGGAGAGGAGCAGGTGAAGGAAGTCGGGACACTCTTGTGAAACACCAAGTAAAGAAGGGCTTGTTTGGCTAACAATGACGTCTTTATTGTGCTGCTTGTGCTCTTCAGGGTTGTGTAAATGTGCAGTCTGAGGACAATCTGCTTCTCCGAGCGCCCAAAGACTCCCACAACATGAAGAGTGCCGAGAGAGGCGTCGCTCAAAGCCTGCACAAGTTCACCTTCACAAAGGTAAGGCATCCACCATCAAGGCAAGCGTCACCCTGGATGTGGCATCACTTGACGTTTCTCATTCGTGCAGATTTTTGGAGCCCAGAGCTCTCAGCAGGAGGTCTACGATCACACCATACGGGAGATGGTGCGAGACGTTCTGCGTGGAGAAAACCGGCTCCTCTACACTTACGGCGTGACCAACTCGGGCAAAACCTACACCATACAGGGTAAGACGGCCATTCCAGCACCGTGCATGCGTTTCTGTACAGCTGGATGGTTGTTAAGAGTGGCTTTGATTGAGCAGGTGCGGGTGGAGAGGCGGGTCTGCTGCCGCGAGTGTTAGTCTCTGTGTTCCTGAAGCTGTCTGGACGACTGTACTCCGCTATGGACCTCAAGCCTGTACTGAGCCAGGAGGTCCGTAAACTGGACACGGGAGAGGTCCGTGCTGAGGAGATGCGGCGTGACGCTTTTCTGAGAGAGGTAACGCAGCTTTAGAGATTTATTTGACTGATAATTAGAGTATTTAGACAACGTGTAACAACCCTCTGAAGAGTGTCAAATTCCTCCATCAGACCTTAAAACTAGTGGGATACATGTACAAACGATAAATGACATGAAATCCTGCAATCTCAGACACTTTTAATCTCCCTTAAAACAAGATTTGATCAAGTGGTGTTTACAAGATTGACTCGTGCCTTTTTGAGTAAAGTTGAAGACCCAACTTTATGCAGCACCCTCTTATAGGGTTGTGATGGTGAGAATTTTCCCACCGGTTAATCGACGTGTGACAACACCGGTATCACCGCGGGGCGTTCCCTCTTTTCCTCGCTTTCCTTCGCTTCTAAATGGCTTAAAAGCGCTGTGCGCATTGCTTTCACTTTTGAATTGGCGGCAGTTCGGCGTCAATTGCTTGAATGCAACAACAAAATACAACGTCAAACTCACTTTAGTGTGTGTGTGTGTGTATATATGTATATGTATATGTATATGTGTATATATATATGTGTATATATATATATATATATATATCTCACAGAACTTTTATTAACAAAACAAATAAAAATACCATGCTAAAGGGCAGGCTATGCCTAATATAAAATAACAGATAACTTGCATTAAGTTTAATAGGTATACAAAACTGGAAGTAAACGTGTATAATATGTAACCAAATAAATAAGAAACGTAGAAAGTTTATTAGCAAAACGAATGTTAAATTAAATAAATGACAGTTTAAATAAAGTGAAAATCAGCAAACAATGTGGAACCAATTAAATAAGAAACGAATGTTTACAAAAAAAAACCCCTTCCAAAATCACCTTAGATAAACGGCAAAAATCAACAGATTTTTCAAAATCCAAAATATTGCCAAACAGGTGCTTTTGCATCTCGTTTAGAAACGAAATCATCCGCGATCGTCTTGTCTGTCTCCCCTCGCTCTCCTCACTGGAGAAATGAAATCTGATCTGTGATGCGACTGTCGTTCAACTGCATTGAGCAGCCGCGTTCAGTTTTTAATTGTAGTGTCTGTTCTTTTACTGATCTAAATGATTTTTATTACTATAAGAAATCAAAACGACGGTGGGGGTCGGTGCCGTGGTGGGCATGTGACGTAACCGGTGTTGTGGCTTAACACCGTCTATCACGACAAGCCTACCCTCTTTCCATTAACGGGATATATCATCCAAAAAATTTAAATTCGGTCATTAATTCTGTCATTAATTACCCACCCTCATGTCGTTTTGAATTCACAAATTCACCTTCATAGACCGCAAGGGAACTACTATGTTCAAGGTCCAGAAAGCTAGTAAGGACATCAGTAAAACGGTCCATGTGACGTCAGTGGTTCAACCGTAATGTTACGAAGCTACGAGAATACTTTGTGTGCAAAGAGAAGAAACAAACTTTATTCAATTTCTTCTCTTTTGGGTCAGTCTCCACCGCCATTCACGAGAGTACCACGATGCACGCTAACTTAAATGTGTCCCTGCAGCACAAAAGCAGTGTTGAGTCGCTGGGGGATATTTGTAGCAATAGCCAACAATACATTGTATGGGTCACAATTATACATTTCTCTTTTATGCCAAAAATCATTAGGATATTAAGTAAAGATGTTCCATGAAGATATTTTGTAAATGTCCTACTGTAAATATATCAACTTAATTTGATTAGTAATATGCATTGCTAAGAACTTCATTTGCTGAAGGTTTTCCTGCGGATCCGTCCTCTTACTGAAGCAGAGCAAGAGCGGGGAGAGGAGCAGGTGAAGGAAGTCGGCACACTCTTGTGAAACACCAAGTAAAGAAGGGCTTGTTTGGCTAACAATGACGTCTTTATTGTGCTGCTTGTGCTCTTCAGGGTTGTGTAAATGTGCAGTCTGAGGACAATCTGCTTCTCCGAGCGCCCAAAGACTCCCACAACATGAAGAGTGCCGAGAGAGGCGTCGCTCAAAGCCTGCACAAGTTCACCTTCACAAAGGTAAGGCATCCACCATCAAGGCAAGCGTCACCCTGGATGTGGCATCACTTGACGTTTCTCATTCGTGCAGATTTTTGGAGCCCAGAGCTCTCAGCAGGAGGTCTACGATCACACCATACGGGAGATGGTGCGAGACGTTCTGCGTGGAGAAAACCGGCTCCTCTACACTTACGGCGTGACCAACTCGGGCAAAACCTACACCATACAGGGTAAGACGGCCATTCCAGCACCGTGCATGCGTTTCTGTACAGCTGGATGGTTGTTAAGAGTGGCTTTGATTGAGCAGGTGCGGGTGGAGAGGCGGGGCTGCTGCCGCGGGGGTTAGTCTCTGTGTTCCTGAAGCTGTCTGGACGACTGTACTCCGCTATGGACCTCAAGCCTGTACTGAGCCAGGAGGTCCGTAAACTGGACACGGGAGAGGTCCGTGCTGAGGAGATGCGGCGTGACGCTTTTCTGAGAGAGGTAACGCAGCTTTAGAGATTTATTTGACTGATAATTAGAGTATTTAGACAACGTGTAACAACCCTCTGAAGAGTGTCAAATTCCTCCATCAGACCTTAAAACTAGTGGGATACATGTACAAACGATAAATGACATGAAATCCTGCAATCTCAGACACTTTTAATCTCCCTTAAAACAAGATTTGATCAAGTGGTGTTTACAAGATTGACTCGTGCCTTTTTGAGTAAAGTTGAAGACCCAACTTTATGCAGCACCCTCTTATAGGGTTGTGATGGTGAGAATTTTCCCACCGGTTAATCGACGTGTGACAACACCGGTATCACCGCGGGGCGTTCCCTCTTTTCCTCGCTTTCCTTCGCTTCTAAATGGCTTAAAAGCGCTGTGCGCATTGCTTTCACTTTTGAATTGGCGGCAGTTCGGCGTCAATTGCTTGAATGCAACAACAAAATACAACGTCAAACTCACTTTAGTGTGTGTGTGTGTATATATTTATAACATACAGAACTTTTATTAACAAAACAAATAAAAATACCATGCTAAAGGGCAGGCTATGCCTAATATAAAATAACAGATAACTTGCATTAAGTTTAATAGGTATACAAAACTGGAAGTAAACGTGTATAATATGTAACCAAATAAATAAGAAACGTAGAAAGTTTATTAGCAAAACGAATGTTAAATTAAATAAATGACAGTTTAAATAAAGTGAAAATCAGCAAACAATGTGGAACCAATTAAATAAGAAACGAATGTTTACAAAAAAAAACCCCTTCCAAAATCACCTTAGATAAACGGCAAAAATCAACAGATTTTTCAAAATCCAAAATATTGCCAAACAGGTGCTTTTGCATCTCGTTTAGAAACGAAATCATCCGCGATCGTCTTGTCTGTCTCCCCTCGCTCTCCTCACTGGAGAAATGAAATCTGATCTGTGATGCGACTGTCGTTCAACTGCATTGAGCAGCCACGTTCAGTTTTTAATTGTAGTGTCTGTTCTTTTACTGATCTAAATGATTTTTATTACTATAAGAAATCAAAACGACGGTGGGGGTCGGTGCCGTGGTGGGCATGTGACGTAACCGGTGTTGTGGCTTAACACCGTCTATCACGACAAGCCTACCCTCTTTCCATTAACGGGATATATCATCCAAAAAATTTAAATTCGGTCATTAATTCTGTCATTAATTACCCACCCTCATGTCGTTTTGAATTCACAAATTCACCTTCATAGACCGCAAGGGAACTACTATGTTCAAGGTCCAGAAAGCTAGTAAGGACATCAGTAAAACGGTCCATGTGACGTCAGTGGTTCAACCGTAATGTTACGAAGCTACGAGAATACTTTGTGTGCAAAGAGAAGAAACAAACTTTATTCAATTTCTTCTCTTTTGGGTCAGTCTCCACCGCCATTCACGAGAGTACCACGATGCACGCTAACTTAAATGTGTCCCTGCAGCACAAAAGCAGTGTTGAGTCGCTGGGGGATATTTGTAGCAATAGCCAACAATACATTGTATGGGTCACAATTATACATTTCTCTTTTATGCCAAAAATCATTAGGATATTAAGTAAAGATGTTCCATGAAGATATTTTGTAAATGTCCTACTGTTTTGAATGCTTTTGTTTTAGATGTAAAATGAAAAGTTAATGGATTATTTGTTCTCTTTTTGCATCTGATCTTCATAATAACAAATAAAAAAAATATATATAATTACTCTATTCATCACAATATAGCTAAGAAAAGAAATGGAGGAAAAGATACAACGTTGCAGGTGATTCTGCTTTAGAACCTTCAGAAAACTTTAACTCTGACTGATCGAAATCAAACGGGTGTAGCTCAGTCATTTTTCATCCGATAACAAATCATTCTGAAGGTTTTTTTTAATGGAGAACGTGAACATTTAAAAAAAATAACTTTTTGAAAATGTACTCATTGTGACTCGGCACAGGTCACAAATGTTAGGCCACTTAAAGAGACTTCCATTCTGTTTCTAAGAAGTGACCGATTCCAGCTTTACTTGTTAGATATGTTTGAGATTTCAAATGCAGAATTTGGGTGAATGTGACCCTAATCCTAATGTAAAACTGCTTCTGCGGGTGTGTGTTTGTCCTCCAGACTCAGATGGCGTGTGTTTGGAGGCGAATGGTTTGTGTCTCAGCGGTGGAGAGGATCTTGAGGAGGGTGTGCAGTTCTCAGTCTGGGTCTCGTTTTATGAGATCTACAACGAGTTTCTTTACGATCTCCTGGACGCTCCACCTTCACTTCAGTCCCACAAGAGAGCCACGCTACGCCTCAGCGACGACAAACACGGAAACCCTTATGTAAAGGGTAAGGATCACAAACGGAACAGAAGTTACATTTAAATGTGTTTTCAATTTTAATGATATTGAACCGTTCATGTTCTTGCATTAGATCTGACCTGGATTCAGGTACGAAGTGCAGAAGAGGCCTGGAAAGTGCTTAAAGCTGGACAACGCAATCAAAGCTTTGCCAGCACTCACCTAAACCACAACTCCAGCCGCAGGTACGTGCCGAACGCCATTAAAATCACTCTTTTCTGTATATGGGTTATTGATCTTATTGTGAGCCGTTCATCCATGCATGCGTTTCATTACAAAAAGATGAAACATTGTAACACTTGAGTTTATAATGTTTAAAAAAATACTGTAAGTGGATCTTCATTCAGGACTCGTCATTTAGACTGCTTAAATTTCAGTCATTTCAATGTGAATTTTATGTGAGGGCAAAATATAAAATGTGTTTTCTTGACATTTCTAGCCATAGTATCTTTACTATCCGTGTTCTACATGTCAAGCCACAAGCAGAGCTGGGACAGGTGACCAGAATCAGCGAGTAAGTCCATTCACATTATGGTTCGCTGCTTCATTTAGTGGTATGTTTTGTAGTTGTTGTATTGGACTGAAGCCTGTAGAATTATTCCAGCTGTTAATGTGGAGTTGTCATGTGTTTTGTCCCGGCAGGCTCTCTGTGTGTGATTTGGCGGGGTCTGAGCGCTGTAAAGCCCAGCAGAACGGAGAGCGAATGAAAGAGGCGAACAACATCAACACCTCTCTGCTGACGCTGGGGCGCTGCATCACTGCTCTGAGACACAACCAGACCAATAAGTGAGTGACGCTTCACGTGACTGGGAGTGTGAGGTCGCCACCAGCTGCCTGATCGATTTATACTGTCATCGCCACAGGTCTCGGCCTCCGCTGGTCGTTCCGTTCAGAGACAGCAAGTTAACCAGGGTCCTGCAGAGCTTCTTCTGTGGTCATGGCCGCTCCTGCATGCTGGTCAACATTAACCCCTGCGCCTCCACATATGACGAGACGCTGCAAGCACTCAAGTTCTCTGCCATCGCCACACAGGTAACAACATGACTGACTGTTTCCTCTCTCCTCTGGATGCCAAACATCCTCCGTTCACAGATCTCTCCCTCTCTCTGTTGTGTCAGCTGGTGCACGGGCCGTGCAGTAAGACGCGGGTGGCTTATATTCTGTCGCTGCTTCGTGAGCCGCCTGCGCATCTCAACAACACCACTCTACTGGAGGAGGAGAGCGACGAGGAAGGAGACATCACCATGTTTGATCCTGAAGTAAATGCACTTTTAGATTCATCATAAGAGAGACGAGAGGACTGCAAGTTGTAGTCTGTTTCTGATTCTAAATTACATGACAAATTGTAGTTTGTCGTCTGACCCATTACATGTTTTAGGTAAAATAATCAATTACTTTTGACATAACTTGTTTTATGAACATCCATTTAAATAGGATAAACTTATACCATGCTGATTAGGGCTGTCAGAATAGCTGAAAAACTACATTTGAACTTTGTACTTAAATATTATCGAATTATATTAGAATTTAAAATGCATTTCGGTTAGGGTGAAGAAAAGCTTTTGGCTTCTCTCCTGAGGCCACAAGAGGGTGCATTGAGCAAATATTGCTAATGCACATTTATTCAAAGCATAAGATAACATGACTATCTGTGAAAAAAGTGCATAATGTTTATAAACCAATTATAATTAAGTTTCTTAAACGACTATAAACAAAACCGCATCATGTATGTATGCATAGTTTAACACAAAGGGCTGAAAGCCAATCACACAGTATATTTATCATTTAAAAACATGAGATGCAGTGGGATGATTGAAAAAAAACAGACTTTATGGCTGTTTTTTCCCCAAGTTAAACTTGCATTAATTTCACATGGCTTTCTAAACATGCGGCTCTTTTGTGCGAGACGTGAGTGCAACGCTGATAGATGTCCCTCTAGAAAATGCATGAAATATGCGTTCTGTGTGAACGGCTTGGTTTCAGTTTTGATGTAAACAAGATTTTCTCTGTTCTCTTTTCCGCTATATTTGTAATGAACATCGCAGCAGTGCCGCATCTAGTGGCTCCAACTGGATAGACTAACAAACACATTAATACAACCACACTTACATCGTCATCGCATCTCGTGCGCCGCTGATAAGCTGCTGCCTTAACGCACACCTAAAATTGTGTACCTAAACCTAACGGAGTAAAAGGTTCCGTTCGTCGTTATTAACGGCATTAAACATTATATTGTTAAGGTTTTCCAAAAATGGGGTTTATGGAGGAACTGAAGGGGGTTTGTGAGGTTAATAAGCTAATAATTAATTGCATCAAAAAAAATTAGAATTAAAAAATTAAATAACATCAAAATAAAACTCGCTTTAAAATATTTTATTAGTTTACCTGCAAATGTCATGTGACCATTTACCAACATCAGAGAACCGTGAACATGCAAATGTTAATTAATTATGAACTTATTACCTTCAAATCTCAGGGGGACAGAAGGTTTGGGAATCCCTGCATTACATGTAACTAAAGAATAATGTGAATTTTTAATGTGTTTGAAAGACAAACACCTTCCAAAGATGCAGTAATACATGGTTAAACAACCTACAATTCAAATAAATGAATCTGTCCATCAGTAGTTGATGCCAGTGGTCAAATGCTGTGTGGTCTCGGTTATCTGTGTAATTATAGTGACGGGTCTCTGTGTGAATGTCCACAAAACTGACAGACTTTCTGAGTGTGCTGTAAGCAGTAGGATATTTTAGAAAGCTTAGTGTATTAGTTTTGTTGTAGTTTACAAGATGTGCATTTGCCCTATACAAAAAAAACCTAACTTTTTCATGTATTCTATTAATCAGCGTTGATTATTACAGTGTCCAGGGCAATAACGGGCGATGATGATGATTAAAAGTACTGCAGATGGTGTTGGTTTAATCTCAGCGCGCACACTGAAGGGAGAACTGCAGGATCTCATGTGGGACGTGTCTGTTGCAGAACCTGAAGCAGCTGCGGCTGGAGCTCCAGATGCTGGGTGTGAAGCTGCAGTCTGGAGAACGAGCGTGCTGCCGCAACACCGACGGAGAGAGGCTCCGAAACGCACTCTCCTCCGCCGACGGCAAACTCGCCAAACAGGTAAAACACGAGAGCTCCTCACTTCAGACGACATCAGAACGTAAACATTGCAGTCTGTCTTAGCTGCGATTGACCGACCGAATGCAGCTCTAACTGACGAAAATAACCATCTTTGCTCTTCCTGCGTAATATTGTGTTGCAAACATCAATGCTGGCAAATGACTCTGGTATAAGCAGGATAATCCACGGCTAGCTGTGCATTCATGTAATAAAAAGGAAAGTAACATTTATTTGGGCTATTACTGATATTCAACAATGTCTAGCTGGATGCACAGTTAGTTTGTTCCGCACCAACGTCTCTTCCTCTGTTTCTCTTCCCGTGTTCTCTTTAACTCCTTTCACACATTTAGATTGAACACATCTACTAACAAAATCCAAATGACATGCATGCCTTCCTCTAAACCAGTGTTTCCCAACCTTTCTTTAGTCGCGGCACCCTTTGGAAATTAACACATTTGTGGCACCCTACAAAATTAATGGTCTCAATATTTGAATTTCTAACTTCGATATGATGCTTAAAAAAATTAAAGATTCGGTACAGCAGGGAAGAACTGCAGAATATAACGTCATGCAGATATTATTAAAGTCCATCAGTGGTGGCAATCAGTAGGCTAATTTCTAATGAAGAGACCAATGTATATGACATTTTTAATGTAGGCTTTTATTCATATGTAAACATTGGGAGATAGTTAAAATGGTAATTAAACCGTTTTGCTCACTCTGTGTATTTTTGATTTTACAGCTGGGTAATTTTGGTGCAGTAGCACGAGAGAGCTTGATTTAAAACTTTGAATTGAATAAAAAATGACAAGGAGACTAAGCGGTTAATAATAAAATAAGAACAAATAAAGAAATTACTAATGATAGCACAAATAAAAAATCACGGTAGGCCTACAAATGAAATAAATAGCTTTTTAGTTTTTCAGGTAGGTCTAACACAGTAGGGCTATTAAGAGTTTATTTATTCTTTTTACCAATTATCCAAATGTTTAATCCTAGAAAGCGATTATTATCAGAGGACACGTGAGCATAACGGTTAGCAGATCAATGAATGAGAGGGCAGTGTTACCAGAGTTGCTCATATACCACACCTTGTTACAGCACAGTAGAGCTATTGCAGACCGAAACCATACTATACTACATCCATGTGTCCTGTCAGCTGGATTTCTGAGTGGACATTGCTGTTCTGATGAGCATGAACGGTATACGAGTGAAGCTTGAGCCGTGAGCGACTGAGTGGAGAGCCCACGCATATAGAGCGTCACACCACGTGAAAGTGAATCCTGAGCGGTGAACTCCTTTTCGGCAGCTGGAATTTCAGTGCAGCTCTAATTATTGGTGACATCAGAAATGGATATTATATAATAGCTGCTTTTATGAACATTTTAACTCTTTTACACGGCACCCCTGCTCTTGACAGACAGCACCCCGGTTGAGAAACACTGCTCTAAACTACTTGCTCTTATTTTACTAACATGCCGTTTGTTTCTGATTGTTCCTGGCCTGATTTTCTAATCTGATCTGTGTGCTTTCAGAAGAACTAAATGAACCATGTAACTGTTCCCTGTGGCCTCTCTAACCCTGTTGGCTGCCCTCTCCCTCCCGTCTGCAGGACCAGATGCTGGTGGAGCTGCACACTAGCCTGCAGCTGGTCAGAGCAGACCTGCGCAAGAAAGACGAGCTGCTGGCACAGCTACAGCACAGCCAGCCTCCTCCGCCAGCGTCCGGCTCCTGCAAGAAGAGGGGCTGCGGCGTGGCTTACGTGGAGAACCAGCCTCCTGAGAAGCGCCCCTTCTTCCGCTCGTTCTTCCCCTCGCGCCAGAGGCCTGAGGCGGGCACACCGTACACCCGAGTGTTGCGCTCGCGCCAGCCGTCCCCTCCGTCCACTCCCATACAGCTCCGAGTCAAATATTAGGAGCTCAGCAGTGGACGCAGACAAGAGCTTTTATATCTTGCAGTTTTTATATTTCTGTCTTTAATATAATCAGGTGGCCGTTTGACGCATGAATGGGCCTT